CTGCCACCTGCCGCACGTGTCCCAAGGATGGTTTTAGGCTAAAAAAAATCTATATGTAAAGGGGGAATGGCACTTCCCATACAAACCGAATTTCTCATGCTACATATCTCTGAAAGTGTGCATGGTAGAGTTTTGGAAATTGGTATGGAGATATACGAAATCAATCGCATACCCTTGGAGTAAAATTTTAGCTATTGTAAAAAGGGGTGTGACATCTCCCATAAAAACCGAATTTTCCATACTGCTTATCTCTGGAAATTTTTTGGTAGAGTTCTAGAGTTTTGTGTGGAGATGTACGAAATAAACGCATACTCTTTGAGAAAAATTGGAACTATTGGAAAAGGGGGCGTGGCATCTTCCATACAAACCGAATTTTTCATACTGCCTATCTTTGTAAGTGTTCTTGGTAGAGTTCTGGAACTTGGTATGGAGATATACGAAATCAATCGCATACTCATGAAGAAAGAGGGCAGCTGTTGGAAAGGGGGGCGTGGCACCTCCCATATAAATCGAATTTTTGTACTGCATATCTCTGAAAGTATTCATGGTACAGTACTGGAACTTCGTATCGAGATATGTATATAGTTGAAATCAAGCCCATACTCATGGAGAAAATTTGGGCTATTTAAAGGGGTGTGAGGCCTACAAACGTACCGACCTTTAGCTATCTTTGAATTAATTTTTTTTATTCTTCTGTAGGTGTGTTTGTGAGTGAAGTCCTCCTAAATGGTTGTACGGATTTTAACGAAACTTTTTGTGTATTTGAGTGGGTTTCTGGATGGTTTAGTTTCACAATTTAATCCTACAGTTGGCGCTGTATTTGAGTTATTACTAAAAATCTTATTTATGATCCGATTTGGATTATGTTTTAAAAATGTATGCAATACTATTGCAAAAACATGCTGACAAGTGGTGCTGAAGTCGAGCTATTACTAAAAATAGCCAAGTGAGAAAAGGGGCCGTGAAGGTCAGTTTAAATCGACCTGTTGCACCATTGAGTATATCGAACGCTCCTGCGTTGCAATTGACCCAATGGATGTGATTTTCCAATATTATTATGCGTTCAAACTTTTAAGGTATTTCGTCTCAAATAAGTATATGTATATTGCATTTCTGTAGAACAATGATTCGCACTCATTTTGAAATTGCCACCTACTATACTGTAAAGCTTCTAGGACATTCACTATAGAACCGGATCATTGTTGCCGGCAGGGAGTGAAGAGGAAAAAATTTATTTCGCTTTGCGAATAACCGTGCTATGAAATTCCGCACAACTGGAGAATTTTAAGAACTTTTTCACGGATATAACACTTTCCTTAGGTTATTTAAAGCGGCAAATGACCACCAAACCTTAATCTTAGCAGACAAATGTGCCAATGAAAATCGTGATTTAATAACTCTTAATTTGATATATCGTCCTGTTTATAACAATGAACGCATTCCATAGATATTACATGCCAAAATTTCATTTTCAAAATTCATACACTTTGGTTCAATTGCGCGGGCTAAAGATAAATTTTAAATTAATCTTTCTTGGCCAATAACAATTGGCTTAGACCTAAGACATCATAATATTACTATTACAATAGGGTCAAATGCCTTTTATTTTCTCCCATACAAAATCGACGCAGCCTAATATACATACATACATACATATGTACACAAATATTCAAAAATAATGTTGTTGCAAAACCCCTTAATACAAATCGAATTCGATAGCGTAAAAAAATATCATAATTTTTTGGACTTATCAAATTTTCTGTGATTATTTTGGACTTAGCAATTTTGCACATCACGGAATAAAACTGGTAGAAATAAAACAAGTAGTTAGATCCTTTCAGAAACGGTGCATTTTCCATTTTCCTTACTTCCTGCATCAAAACCTAATTGTTCACAAAAAGTGGACTTAGCAACATTTCACTCTAAGCTAGCGATATATATATTTATATATATATACGTATATATAGACACTTAAGCATTGAACTCACCTTCCAACTAGTAATTTAAAAAGAAAAAAAACCGACTTCAACTCTCATATAAAAAAAAAATATATATATGGGGCATTTCACCTCAAGTGACCCAACTTTTGAAATCTATGTCTTCCGATCGGGATGAAATTTGCACCAAGGTTAGTCCTAAAAAATAGTAGTTATGACACAAAATTTCAATGGGATCGGTCAAACACACTCCGAGTTGGAGGGTCTAGAATTT